GAGCCCAGATGTTGGGGGCCTCATAGCCTTGCCACTCAGAGGTGTATGGCTTATTATCCTTCCAAAATGGCTTGTCTTCTGCCTGGGGTATGGGCTCTGCATCTATGAAAGCTGTGTGACATCTGGGCCTTGGTGGGATCTTGGGACAACCTGAACAACCCCCAACCTGTTGGCTGTGCCACTGCCCTGCCGCCTCCCAGTCGAGTCTGTTCCTTTCATCTGGGCACTGGGGCAGCAGGTGCCAATTAGGGTGGCTCCTGCCCAAGACTCTAACTCAGAAAAGGTATGCACCCATCGGACAGGCTTAACTGAGGACTCTCATCACTGCCCTAGGGACTGATGGCTTTATTATGGTTAGTAACCAAGATGGCCCAGTGGACTGAGTGGGCTTGTGCCCCCACCTCTGCCCCGGCCCTCTGGTGACTCACTCCCCTGAAGGGAGAATGGGCGCCTGTCCTTTTGCCTTGGCTGGCCCTGCACACTTAATCACGGCATCCTCTTTACAGAGTGCTCACCTGCAGCCAGCTGGCCCCTGATGACCCCTGAGCTCACTGGGTGGTCCAATAGTAGATCAGGGCCTGGTATACACCTGCAGCCCTGGGAGTACGTGGGTTGCCTAGAAGGCGCCAGCAGAGGCTGAAGGAGAGGAACTATGGGCAGGGTTAAGTGACATTGGGGTGCCTGTCAACCAGAGTGCAGGAATTCCAAAGGCTAAAGAAAGGGACTCAACTGAGAGTTGAGAGCCTGGGCCTATACCCTGCTCTTCCATGAGCCCTGAGAGTCCCTGGCCAATTCTCCTTTGGTGCCTAGAGAGCTCCAGCATAGTACTCCTTCCTCCAAATCCCTCAGCTGATTATTCCCCTGATGGCCTGTGAATTTATTTTCAGTTCTGGGGTAGAGCCCAGGGCCTCGCTCATGCTAAGCAAGCACTCTGCCCCTTAGCTACATTCCCAGACTTTTTTACTTAATATTTTGAAACAAGGTCTTACTAAATTGCCTTGACTGGTCTTGGCCTTTTTCTGTAGATCAGGCATCCTAAAGTTGTGATCCTTCTGCCTCATCTTCTACAGCAGCTGAAATTATAGGTTTGTACCACCAGGCAAGGCTGGCTATTCTTCTTGCACCCTGCTGGGACTCGGCACTTTGTTTTTTAGGTATGGCAATGTGACCAAGGAAGGCCTGTACAATCAGTGTGATGGACAGAGCTGGCCCAGGTCATGGATCAGTAGCCCACAGGTTGAATCTGTGCCTGCAGAGAATAGTGCAAGACATAACGAAGAGGTCAGATGGACAAAGGGTGTAGCCTAAGCATGCTGTGGGCAGTCATATGCAGGGTGAGCACATGTCCTATCTTCATGCCCAGAGATCTAGGGCCTCCTTCCCCAGTGCGCTCCTTGGAGGTTGTAGGGAACAAGTGTCTGAAGGGGTCTTGAGTCTACCTGCATCTGCTTTGAAAGTGGAGGGACTTTCTCCAGTGGTCCCACCACAAAGTGGGCTGCTCTGACACACAGTACCCTGAGTGTGGTCTCAGGATGACAGAAAGTGGGTTTTCTACCACCAGACCTACCTGGGTAAGATCATGTGGCAGGTACACAGCAGCCCCCGCCTTCTTCAGCTTTAGTTTTCTGTTACCATGGGTAAGTCTCTCAGATTTTTGGACACTGCTGAGGGAAATGGCCCTGGAAAACCCTGTGTGTGTCCCTCCTTCCCCCATTGCCCTCTTTCCAAGTCTTAGGGCCTGTGGGATGGTATCTTTCTTTCTATGAGGTCACAGCCCCTGGGAGGATGCGTAGATACTTCCTGGCTACCCTGACCCTTCCCTTGTCTACAGTGGCTGTGTTCTAACTTCCTCCCTAGGCCCTCTGGGGGCCAACAGGGGCTTCCTAATTCTAGGGTTCATGGTGAATCACTTCAGCTATGGGACCTCAGACATCAAGGAGACCTGTCCAGGTTTCTTCCTGTGGTCATCTTCCAGTTGGCTTATAAAGCACTAGTGAGGAGGTGGGGGAGGTGGACTATGTTCTACTTGGGCTTTTGAATAGTAGGGCTGGGCCCACTGCCCCAACTTCCTTAGGGTATTCATTGCCCTGGAGTCTGACTGGACAACAGGGTGGGACCCAAAGGTGGGCACAGTATAGGGGTGGGCATGGGAAGGCACAGAAGGGAGCAGAGATCTGGTGGGGCTTGCTTAGGCAAAGGTGTGGCCTTAAGAGTTGTGGCTTTGAGAGAGGCCTCCAGTCTCATTTCCATGATGCTCCATCACCCACCCCTGACCACCTGGTTCACCAGCACAATGCTTAATCCTGTTTGGCTTGGCTGAGACCCTAGACATCCTTCAAAGGCAAGTGGGAGTATGGGGGCTCCTGAGCAAGAACCATTCCCATCCAGAGACCCCCTTGAGTGGGGATCTGAGGCATTCTAGTGAGAGCTCCATCTGAGGACCTGCATATACTACCAGGATCCAGTTAGCAGCTAGGTCATTGTCCTCAAATCTCAAGGACTGCCATGCCCTATATATAATGATACTAGGATATCAACTTTATAAATGTGGACTCATGGGGAGATTTGATCCACATTTCCTCTGCTTTGCAGATGAGTGGAGGGTCTTGCCCAAGCTACTTCTTCCTGGGGCTTGGGCTCCCCATCTGCCCACTAGAGCTGTCAGGGTGTCCCAATTACTGCATGGCTCCCCAGCTCCCATAAGTGACCTCTTTATTTTTATGTGTATGAGTGTATTGCCTGCATGTGTGTAAGTACACCCGTCTCATGCAATGCCCATGAAGGTCAGAAGAAGGCATCAGATTCCCCTGGAACAACATCGGATTCCCCCGAAACTAGAGTTATGGACAGTTGTTAGCGACCATGTGGATGCTAGGAATCGAACCCTGGTCCTCTGTAAGAGCAGTCAGTACTCTTTTGTTGTTGTTTTGTTTTTTTGTTTGTTTGTTTTGAGGCAGGGTCTCCCTGTAGCCCCAGCTGGCCTGGGATTCACTATATAGACTAGGCTGGCCTTGAACTCACAGAGATCTGCCTGCCTCTGCCTCCCGAGTGCTGGGATTAAAGGCTTGTGCCACCATGCCTGGCCTGAGCAGTCAGTACTGTTAACTGCTGAGCCATCTCTCCAGTCCCCATACATGACCTCTTAAGATGTGTATTTGTACTTCCATTTATATCTCTCTATCCAAGCTCTCAAATCTGTCTGGTTTGAGATTTTGGTACACTTGAATGGTTCTTTCCCTGGCTTAGCTGTTCCTGTTCTTCCTGGAATTCTGGCCTTCTCTGGAGGCATGTTGATAGGGTCTACTGGAGACCCAGCCCGAGTTGGCATCATGTCCTCAACACAGTGCAGACCCATCACAAATGATAGGGACAGGGGAATGTTACCCTCAGGAGTTCAGTGCAATATTCCATACCAAACTCCATTAATACGGAAAAAAATCTAGCACAAACCACAAAACTGTTTTTTTTCTTTTTACTTTCCCTATTACTTACATACTACCACTAAAATAATTTCTTTCATAGAAAGAAAAGAAAAAAGAAAAAAAATCACGTGTTTGCCTAATTCCAGTGGATGGTGTATATAGCAGCAATGGAAATAAAATTACAACCCCAAATGCAAAGTTCTAGAGAAGACAGTCACCACAGCACATGACCTCTCTCCGGGGCTCTTGGGCAAATTCCTCCCTGTCCGTATCCCTGCCCCCTGCCTAGAGGTAGGGATAATTCACAGTGGCAGTGGTCAGGCAGCTCTTGTGGCAAATGGGCCTTCGGCCTTTCATTCCCAAACCAGGCATGAGAAGCTTGGGAACACGCTGGTGGCAGACAGATCCAAAGCCCTGAGGATCGATCCTGATCAGTGGTGCTCTGGGAGACACCCTGTCTCTGAAGCCTGGCTGTGCCCTGATGTCCCTGAAGCTGACACAATTCAAAGTGAGGCCAGCATCTCTGAGCAGCTTTGGGGGCTGGGCACCACTGACCAGATGAAGAGCTGGAGGTTTCCTGGGACGATGTCTGGTGCCAGAGCAGAGGCAGGCCATGGTGGGATGGCACCAGGGCTCCAGGATCCTTAGCAGCCTCCAACCAAGCCCCTTCTTTGCTCAGGACAGAGCTTATTTTCGGAGCCGGGAGGGTTGGAGGACTGCAAACCATCCCAGGAACGGGCCTTCAAAGGATGGTGGTAACTCCCAGGCAGGAAGGTTGCAGGGCTTGGCGAGGGAGACCCAGGGCCTGGCGTCACCCCTGCGTTCTCCTTGTTCTCCGTAACTTCTTCTGCCAGGAAACCCTGCTCTGCGCAGATGAAGCCGGAGGATGGAACCTTACATGGGAACTGGGAAGAAGCCAGATAGTGTCTGAAACCCCTGCTGGGAGCCAAGGTGTAGTCGGGAGCTCCGCCCTCCAAAGGAGCTCTGCCCCAGTCAGCAACCGAGTCCCATTCTCAGCAAAGAATACACTGTGGAGCCCCGCCCCACCCCAGAGAGGTCTCCTTTCCCTCCCCAAACCTCAGAAGCTCCCAGAAGCTTCAAGGAGAAGTCCCTCCCCCTCTGGATTCCCCAGTTCAGCAGAGCCTACACCAAGCCCTCCTACCTATCTCGAGAAACTCAACTTCCTGGGAGGAATCCGCCCCAGAGCTCTGTCCCATTCAGAGCAGGCGCCGCTGGGAGGGTCTCCACCCCCAACCCCCTCCAGAGAAGCCCCGCTCATCAGCGAGCTCCACCTAGTTGAAAGGGTAACCCCACCTGCCAGTCAGAGCTCTGCTGGGTCCAGAGAGGAGCCCAGCCCATCCGTGATAGGAGCCTCGCCCCCAGATAAGAACCTCGCTCCTAGGCAGGAACCGGGTCCCCAAGCCGGATTCCCACCCCAGGTGGAGCCCCGGGCTCCCAGGCAGGAACCACACACTTAGGCAGAAACCCTCCCCCAGGAAGGAACCCAGCCCTACGTAGGAGACACCCCCTGGCAGGAACCTAGTCCTAGGAAGGAGACCCCCGACCCCCGCCCAGGTCTCCTGCTCCGTCAGTTAAGAACCCCACCTGGTCGCTGCCCCGTGCGTCGCGGGCCTCAGCCAGTTACTTGCAGGTGTGCACGTCGTAAACGCGCGTGCACTCTTGACAGCTGACATAGCAGCACCAGTGGAAGACGCACTGGCACTTCTCCCTGCGCCGCTCGGTGCGCGCGTTGTGGCCACGGCCGCAGCACAGCAGGTCGCAGCCGTCGATGCCGTGCGAGCTCACGTTGCAGGTGCGGTCGCGTGTCCCAAAGGAGCCGGTCTCGGGGTTGGGCTCGCAGAAGTTGGGCGACGCCTCGTAATAGACCAGGTCGCGCTCTGTGGGCACCTTGAAGTACGTGTAGCGCGGCCGCAGGGTCTCCACCCAGCCACGAGACTCGCGGTGTTTCTCCACCACCATCTCGGAGGCGCTGTCGTACTTGTCCTTGAGGAAGTCGCCGATGGTCCGGAAATCAGGCTGAGACCACCAGCAGGTTTTCACCTCGCAGCTGCCTGACAGCCCATGGCATTTGCACTTGAGGTGCATGTGGCTGGCGATGGCCTGTGGAGGCATGCGCATAAGCCAGTGTCTGCACCACCTCCAGGTGTGACTCCCCCAGGGGGCCCGCTCTTTGCCTGCAGCCCTCCCGCTCCATAAAGCCCCCGAGCCTCTGGTCTCTGTGGGCCCCTAGTGTCACTACTTTCCCTATGGTGACCTGTGTCTTCCCAGGCGACCCAAGGCCTCAGGGGCAGGGGAGGTTCCTAGCCCAAGTGGGCTCAGCTGATTCTTTCAGGAGTGTCTAGGGTGTAGCACCAGAAGCAGGGAGCTGCAGGCGGGCATAGTTTGGAGATGCCCATGGGAAGAAATGAGGAGTGCCCAGAGTAGATGCTATGGCCTTGGTGGAGAGTCTAGAAGTCCTGAGCAGGGACACTGAGCATGGTCCCTACAGGCATAGGGCCTGGGGAGCAGCATTTCCCTATGGACAACTGGGGCCTTGCCCTTCTTTGGGTAAAGAAGTAAGGATGCTTCAGGAAGATATTGGGGACCCTTTCCTTTAGGGAAAAGGGTAGAGACAAAGGGGCACGTGACCATCAGAACTGTCTGTAGTGATCCTGCCCACAGACTAGGCACTGATTCCTCCTCCAGGTCTGCCAAGGTCTGCCCACTTGTCCTCAGGTTCCAAGCCCTCCTTCCCCATATAAGCACTGTTTCCGTTCTTCTGCTCAGGACTTCTAGCACTCCCTTCCAGTCCATAGGCACCTCTGGGCAGCTCCCCATGTCTTTTCTCTCCCATTCCCAGAAGTACTTTATGTGCAAAACATACACTGACTCTTTAAGCCTCAGTATAAAAAAAGCATGCAGGATATTACATAATTTCAACATCAGCTGTACTATTGAAATAGCATGCTGGACATGAGGGTTGCTACTGTAGATCTGGCTGTGGCCAAGATTCTCATGCAGCTTGGTTCCCAATGTGGCAATGCTAAGAAGTGGTGGGACCTTGAACAGGTCTCAGTTGGAAGGGAAGCATACCTCCTAATGTTCTATAGCACAGGATGACCACCAAGGTAGACAAAGAACTGCTTCCAAATGACAATGAGGAGAATTTGAATGTTTCAGCAGAAAAAAAAAAACAAAACTTTTTTTTTATTTTGAGAGAGACATGGTCTCAATATGTAGCCCTGGCTGGCATTGAACTTGTAGCAATTCTGTCTCGTCCTCTGAGTGCTGGAATTACAGGCATGTACCACCATGCATGGCTGAAATATATATATATTTTTTTTTAGTGCTACCTACCCTGATCTGGTCATGATACACATATTCACATACTGAAGCATCACACTGTACCACATAACTATGTTCGGTTATGATGGCAATTAAAATACTTTTACTGAGGCAGGAAATCATTGGTTTTGGGAACTTCTCCCTCAAAGGGAACCTGTACTTTGCTTGCAGCCCACCTGCTCTGTAAAGCTATCATCAGTCTGAGACAGAGCAAGGGTCATCTCCATGTGTCCTTAGAGCTACTGCCTTTCCTCTAGTGACAGTGTGCCTGCCAGACCCCAGGGGTGGGAGCCTAGTACCTGGGAGGCTTTCTTCCCATCATCCCCTTTCTCTCCTTGTTGCTACAAAGTCTGGGATGGAGGGAGGGAGGAAAGAATGTTGGGATAAAAGTAAGACCATCCCATTATGGTGGTACATGTCTATAATCTCAGCAGCACTGGGGAGACTAAGGCAGAAGGATTGAGATTGGAGGTCAACTGGGCTACATCATGAGACCCTGTATCCCCATGCCCCCAAGGTTATTAGCTGTGTATTCTTTCAATATGACTATCAGGAAACAATCGCCCAAATAGTTCTGGCTATGGTTTCTAAGGACTTCTATTGCATGGCGTGGGCTCAAGTTTCAGCCACTCTGGGTTCAGACCTGCCTCCACCTCATCTTCTTCTCATCTGCTTCTCCAGCCTTTCTGTCATACTGGCCCATGGCAAGGTAGCATAGCACCGTACCTGGCTCCACACCCCTTGTCCATCTTGTTTAACCAGCACGTTCCTCTCCTTTTGCAACCAGATTTCCCCAGACTCCTTCCATATCTCTTCCTCAGCCTCTCTCACTTTTGTTTTAGTCTTAGTCAAATAGCCCAATAGCTGCTAAGACCTACTGATTAAATGGGTGGCCAGTGCTCCTCACCTGCATAGCATATTTTCTGACTGCTCAAGGCAGCACATTGCAACATTTGTGGCTGTCTTAACATTTGTCTCACTGCTTGATTTTTGAAGGCATTTTCTGTTGGCTTCTCACCATGGAGCATGGAAATTTAGTGCTCTATCTCATCTCCCATTACAGTTCCCAAACCTTCCCCTGCCTACCCTAAAAACTGGTGTGATTCACTGTTGATGGCACTGGTTCTGTGTCAGCCGCTATACTCTGAGGTGGCATTTCCTTTTCAACACAACTTTCTCTTGTCATGATTAATACACCAGTCATGGTTCAGCTCCATTTTGTCCCATCTCTAAACAGTCTTTTCAAGATGTCCAAGCATCAGGGTTGGGGTTGAAACTCATTTGGCTTAGTGCTTGCCTAGAATGCATGAGGTCCTCGGTTTGATTCCCAGTATTGAATAAACTGGGCATAGTGGTCCCACTTGTGATCTCAGCACTTAGGAGGTAGAGACAGGAGGATCAGAAGTTCAAGATCATTCTTAGTTCAAAGTCAGCTTGGGATACATGAGACCTTGGCTCAAAAAAACCAAACCAAAACCAAAACCGAAAAGGCCTGGTTAGATGACTCATTGGGTAAAGATGCTTGCCACCAAGCCTGAGGATTGGAGTTCAGTCCCCAGGACCTACAGGATAGAAGGAGAGAACTGACTCCCCCAAATTGTCTTCTAACCTCCACATATATACCATGGCACATACATGCCCACACACCTGTTTATATGCACACACACACACACACACACACACACACACACACTAAATGTAATAAAAATATTAAAACAAGCAAAAAACCCCCAAAGATGTCCAAATGTATCGATCAGTTCTTCCCATTCCATCTTTGGGACATCTTTTTGGTGAATTTTATGAGATGAGGTTGTCTGAAAACAAATTTACTGTTGCAGCTTGCTCTTTGATAGTTTAGCTGGGAGCAAAAGTCTTGGTTGGAAATTACTTTGCCACTCAGAGCCCTGGTAGCGTTTGCTCTTCTTCTTCTAGCTTTCATCATGCTGTTTTTATTCATCACTTGTGTGAACCCCAAGCATTCCCTTGAAGCAAAGAGGGCTTTTTCAGGACACAGGCTTTGAATTTCATATGTCTTGGGGGGGCTTTCCCAGTTCTTTTGACATGGATTCTGAGGAATGGACTCAGGGCCCCATGCTTGGGAGGCAAAGGCTTTGTTGACTGAGCTATCTCACCAACCACCTTTCCCTGATCTTATAGCCATTCACTGGGCATGTGTGGTCTAAAACTTGGGTAAATTTCCTGCCTTATATATTTGCCATTCTTATTCCTGTTCATCTTTGTCTCTTGTGTGCATACCCTCCAAAGTTCCTCTTGAGGTTTTTTTGTTTTGTTTTTATTGTTATTTTTTCTTTTTGAGACAGGATCTCACTATGAAGCCCTAACAAGATTTTTGGTTTTGTTATCAATTTTTAATTCCCTTAAAACTTTTTAAAGATTATTTATTATTATATATGTGTGTAAGCCTGTGTATGTGTGTACCACATGCATGTAGGAACCCACAGAAGCCCTGAAACTGGAGTTACAGGTGGCTATGAACTACCATGTGAGTGCTGGGAACCAAACTCAGGTCCTCTGCAAGAACAGCACATGCTTTTAACCACTGAGCCATCTCTCAAGGATAATTTCTTTTAAAAAATCTAAAACTTCAGTTATTTTTTTATGTGTATGCGGGTGCTTGCACCACAGTGTACACGTAGAGGTTGGAGGACAACTTTTGGAAGTCAGTTCTCTTGTTGCACCATGTGGGTCCAGGGATCATACTCAGCTTGTCAGGCTTGGCTGTAAGCACATTTACTGGCTGAGCCATCTCATTGGCTCCATATTTTTAATTTCTAAGAGTTCCTTTTCCTCTCTCTCTCTTTCACTGTTCTTTAAAATTAGGATGTTCTTCTAATATAACAGTTCATTAATTGATCTCTCTGGGGATACTGATAGCTTTTTTGGGTTTCATCTCTTCTTACAGTGCCTCTTTCTTACGAGTTATAAAAAACAATTTTTTGTTTCTAAGAGTTATTTTTAATTATGTGGGGAGAGGGCTGTGCCCTTGAATACCAAAGGTGTCAGGTCCCCCTGGAGCTGGAGTTACAGGTAGTTGTAAGCTGCCTGATGTGGGTGTTGGGAACTGAACTCAAGTCCTCTGCAAGAGCAGTCAGCGCTCTTAACCGCTGAGCCCTCTCCGGGCCCCTAGTTTTGCCTTTTTTTTTTTTTTTCCTGTTGTTGTGAGACAAAGCCTCAGTATATAGCCCAAGCTGGCTTGAAGCTCATGATATAGCCCAGGATCCAATTCATGGCCCTCCTGTCTAGAATGCTGGAACACTAGAATGCTGGTCTGGACTAGCATACCCCTATACGCTCTGTTTTTGTTTATGTATTTCCTGGAATTCCTGCACATGGGAGGCACTTTTACCTTTGGCCCTCACTATAAGGTAATCTAGCTGTTCTGTTTTGTTGGGGACCCCTTTCGTTGATTCGGGGTGAATTGAACGCCCCAGAGAATAATCTCCTTTCCTGTCTGGAGTACAAGTTGGCTTTGAGCTGGTGTTGGGATTTTAGGAAGAGATGAAAATCTCAAGTTCCCTATATATGCACAGAGGCAAGTTTCACCATGACAGCTCATCCTCACACATACTTGGAATCCCTCAAATGAGAGACCCCCTGCTTACTCTTCTAAGAAAAGCATCCAGATTTCTGCCTGGCCATAGGAGCTGGCAGAAGAGACTAGCTATTATAAAATGCTCTTATTTCATTTTACTTCATTTTATTGAGACAGAGTCTCATGTACTAGGTTGGCCTCCAACTCGCTATGTAGTGGAGGATGACCTTGCCCTCCTGACCCTCAGGTATGCACTACCAGTTTAAAAATATTTTTTTAATCTTTTTTTTTTTTTTGGTCTTTTTGAGACAGGGTCTCCTTGTAGCCCCAGCTGTCCTGGAACTCACTATGTAGACCAGGCTGGCCTTGAACTCACAGAGATCTGCCTGCCTCTGCCTCCCAAGTGCTTGGATTAAAGGTGTGCACCACCACACCTGGCTATTTTTTTAATTTTTAATAACTTCATGATTAGAAGAAGCATTTCAGTACAGCTTTAACATATTCAGTAACACACTCCAGAGCAAGAGTACATCTCTTTCACAAGTGGGTGCAAGTTTCTAGGTTCACAGTTGAGTTAATACAGTTATATAATATTGAACTCAGTATAAGCCCCCGGAGAGAGAGGCCTGCGGGTTGGAGAGAGGCCTGCAGGCCATGCAGGCCCAGGGAAGTCTGTTTAAAAATATTTTTAGGGGGGCTGGAGACATGGCTCAGCGGTTAAGAGTGCTGACTGCTCTTGCAGAGGACTCGGGTTCAATTCCCAGCACCCAAATGGTGGCTACAAACCGTCCTTAACTCTAGTTCCAGGAGAATCCAAAGCCCTTTTCTGACCTCTGCAGCATTGCACGACATGGGTGCACTCACATACATGCAGGCAATACACTCATACACATAAAATAAAAATGATAAATAAAATATTTAAAAAAATATTTTTAGGGCTGGAGAGATGGCTCAGTGGTTAAGAGTACTGGCTGCTCTTGCAGAGGACCTGGGTTCGATTCCTAACACCCACATGGTGGCTAACAACTGTCCTTAACTCCAGTTCCAGGGGATCTGATGCCTTCTCCTGACCCCCGTGGGCATTGCACGACATGGGTGTACTTATGTACATGCAGGCAATACACTCATACACATAAAATAAAAAATAATAATAAATAAAAATGCTTTAAAAATAAACTTTCAGTTTCTGTTTCCAGAACCATAGTCATCTCTGCCTCTCAAGATAATGGATGCTCAACACTCCTGGGTAGGTGTGAGACCTCCTCTCTAGCTCATGACTCAGGTCTTGGTTGTGGTATGCCACTGAGCACTAACTGATTTGGGGTTCCTTTTCCTGAATCCTGGTGCCAGCCCTAGAAATCCGTTGTTCTCCAGGTAGAGGTTAGAAACCTTCAAGGCTCTGTTACCACGCCTTGTATTCCATTTTCAGATTCTCATGGAAGACTCTCTCTCCTCTCCCCTCTCTCTCCCTCTCCCTCCCTCCCCCGCCTCCAATCAACCAATCACCTTATCACCTATATCGGTCATCACTATATTTTGCTATCACTTCATATTTGACAACATCCATCCATCCATTTCCCTGGTTCATGTCTTATCTTCTGTGTATTCCTTCCTTGTGGCAGAACCCCCAGTCACTCCACACTGTGTGCTGTTTTCCTTCCTGCATTGTGCAAGGGGTGCTTGCAGGCCAAGTGATCCTAAGATCACAGGGGAGCTTGGCATCTGGTGGGAATAGCTGGACACCTGGGGGGCAACTCTGCCCCTCACACTCCCCAGGTGTCCACGTATTTTTTTTCACTAATGAGGCAATTTATTAATCCAGCCCTTCTCCAGCCCCTTATCCTGCCCAGTGACCCCCCCCCCAAACCCGGTGAAGAAGCTGCCCTTGCCCTGGGGACCCTCGGGTGCTGTGTGCATACCTGACGCCCAGCCTCATTGTTATGGCGGTTCATAGCAGAGCGGGCATCTGGTCGGTTCTCTCGGGCATCTGCAAACTCTCGAGACACCATTCCTCCAAATTCAATGTCCTCGCTACAGCCGCCCCACTTCCAGCCCTCGCCTGGGGAGCCCTGGAGGCGGCTACTGCACCCACAGATGGCAGCAGAACCCTCAGCACAGGAGCGTGTCACTGCGAAGGCCACTCCCGCAGAGGCGATAGCGTGGACGAAGGCTGACTCCCGGGTGGCTGCAAAGGAAGGAGGTAGGGCGTTAAGGCCAGGTGAGGACTGCAGTCCAAAAGGCAGGGATCTGTGTATGGGGCCAAGAAGGGAGAACTCAGCACCTGCAAGTTCTCACCGCAGAGCTGCTAGGTTCTTTTCTGAAGAATCCTGATCCTGACCAATGTCTGAAACAGTGCAGCTAAATTTTTGTTTTGTTTTGAGTTGTAATTTCATAGTTCCCAGTCTTACTTTGAGCTGGGTTTTGTGTGGAAATAGGGGTGTGGTTTCATGCTTTTGCTAGTGAATATTGAGAGCACCATTTATCAAAGAGACTGCTATTTCTCTAATGTGCCTTCTTCACACTTTTTGTTGAAAATCAGTTGGGCATAATTATGTAAGTTTATTCTGGAGTTTCTATTCTGATTCATCAACCTATGGCCAACACACCACTATTTTGGTTATAACTCTGTAGTGTGCACAATGGAATATTATTCAGCTGTAAGAACGAGATCCTGTCACTTGCAGGGATTCAGAGGACACTATAACTGAGTAAGCCAGGCACAGATAGACAAGCAATGCTATCATTCAGGTGTGGAATCTAAAAACATTGGTTTCATAGACACAGGGAGTACAGTGGGTGGTGACTAGAAGCCAGGGGGAGGAAGATGAGGTGGGGAGAGAAGTTGGTCATTGGGTCCAGATTGTAGTTAAAGAGGAAAAGGTTCTGGTGTGCTATGGTTTTTTTTAATTACAATTTATTTTTGTGTGTGCTTGTGTGTGGAAAGGACAACGCTCCAGAGTGCGTTCTCTCCTTCCATCATGTGGGTCCCCAGGGTTGTCAGGCTTGAGGACAAGCGCCTGCACCTGCTGAGACATCTTGCTGGGGCTCCTGGTGTGCTATAGAACAGTAGTGTGACTCTAGTGAATGGAAATTTATTTTATTTTAAAAATAGTTAAAAGAGGCTGGGTATGGTGGCACACATGCCTTCAATCCTAGCACCTGAAGGCAGAGGCAGGCAGATCTCTGTAAAATTGAGACCAGTCTGATCTACATAGCTAGTTCCAGACCAGCTGGAGCTACAGAGAGACTGTCTCAAGAAAATGCTAAAAGAGGGGCTGGAGAGATGGCTTAGCGGTTGCAAACACTGACTGCTCTTACAGAGGACCTGGGTTCAATTCCCAGCACCTACATGGTGGCTAACAGCTGTCTATAACTCCAGTTCCAGGGGAATCCACTGCCTTCTTCTGACTTCTGTGGGCATTGCAGGACATGGGTGCACTTGTACACATACAGGCAATACACTCATACACATAAAATAAAAATAAATAAAAATTTTAAAAAGAAAATGCTAAAGGAGGATTTTGAATGTTCTTACCACAGAAAAGGATAAACATTTGTGATAATAGGCTAAGAACCCCAATTTGATCATTTACAGTGTATTCCTATATTAAAATACCACATAGCACCTCACAACTATGTGCAATTTTTTTTTTTGAGACAGGGTCTCCCTGTAGCCCCAACAGGCCTGGAACTCACTATGTAGACCAGGCTGGCCTTGAACTCACAGAGATCCACCTGCCACACCCGGCCTATGTGCAATTATTACATCAATAAAAGTAAAATAAATAAAAGATGGGATATAGCTCAGACTGTCCTAACCTAGACTGCCAGAGTCTGGGTAACCTGTTGCAGGCATCCAAGAACTCAGCCCCCTCCCACTTGGGGTCCCAGGAAGCTGGCTGGCCATAGACTGCCCACTCTGAACACTTGGCCTCAGCCCCTTGGCTCTAGCTTCTTAGCCCACTCTGCACCCTCCAGAGTCTTCTCTGAGTCCATATCCTACCTGAATCACAGAGAAGCTCTCACTTGGACTGGTATCCAGCCTCTAGCTGCCTCTACTAGCTACACACACAATGTGCACGAATAAGCACCAGCATCACTGGACACAACCCACTTAGCCTCCTGTCCCTCCATTTAGCAAAGGCCCTATCCTTATTTTATGTATTTTTTGAGTCAAGGGCCCTAGCCTAAGCTGGTCTTGAGCTTGCTGTGTAGGTGAGGATGAACTGGGTGTTGGAATTACATCTGTGTGCTACCACATCCAGTTTTATGTAGTGCTGAGGATGGAACCCAGGGTCATGCAAGCTAGGCAAGCACCCTACCGACTGAAGGACATCTCCAGTCCCTATTTTATCTTTGAAGGACTCATGCTGCCCTCCTGTGCCTTCAGGACTGTCACCTCCTCTACCCTTCTACACAGAGCCTGGGTCTGGGCTGGGGGGACTTGAACTACCTTCTGGGCTTAGGACTCAGTCTACTTCTCTCCCTGAACCTTCTCCTTCCATGCCTCAAGGTTGGGTATCCCTAGCCTTGGATACCTTATCTAGCCCAGAGAAACCCCTTCTTGCCCAGAGAAGGTGAGGCCCATAAGAGCTGCCCAGCCAAGTCCTCCTCTCAGCCTTTTTGGCTCTAAAAGATAAGGGGGTCAGTGCTCTGGGCCTTGCCCTTGCCCTGCCCAGAACAAGGGCTTTGGGCTCCCTGCTTATCAGGGCTCGAGCAAATAGCTGAGAGCCGGCAGACACACTTGAGGGGAGGAGCGCTCAGGAGAGGGAAAGGGCAGCAAGGGCTTAAACTTGAAGGGACAAGAGCTCATTCTTGCTCAGCTCTGTCACCAGCTGGCTGGGCGATACTCCCTGTCCACTGAGGCTCAGTTTCCCCTAGTGTCAAATGAGAAAGTGGGTGGGGCTCCTGATCATTCCGTGCCGGGCAGACTCAGTGCCGGGCAGACTCTGGAGCTGGCTTTCAACTGGCTAGCAAAGAAAGTAACACTAGAAGGCTCTGCAAACAGGTCCAGAAACTCCCAGCAGAGAGGCCAGAACAGAAGCTGCAGGCAGCAAACCAAATGAACATGAGACGGTGCATTCTGGGATGAGTAAAAACTGCAGCCATGGGTGTCTAAGCAGTTACCTGAGATACTGGTCAGTTAATTACAAGAAGAACCACTTAACTCTGCGTTTGAGAAACCTAGCATATACTAGACACACACTCACTTGTGATCTTTTAGTCTCATAGCTCAAGATGACCTGTAATTGTGATCTTCCTCTCAAGTACTGGGTGCAGACCACCATATCTAGCTGGTAGACACCACTTTAAGCCAGGGATAGAGTTAACAGCCCCAGCAGGAGGCAGATACCATGTGCCTCTCAAGAAGGATTGTATATCTTCAAGGTGTTAAAAATGTACGGCTTATACTTGATGGTTAGGATACATCTGCTAAACCAGACAGAGGTCCTTCCTATAAAATGACGGTCTCAGAAGTGAAAGCGGGCAGACTGGATGTGTGGAGGAACATGCTGGTACAAACACTGCACTAATGGTGTCAGGTTAGGCTTTGGTGATAAGTTGAGCTCAGGGGTGACGGATACAGCACGGTTATGCACTGCAGAAGTGCAGGAGACTGCCTGAGGGGACCTGAGACTTAAGTCGGCCTCAAAGTTATGGAGAATATATCTGGAGACTGCCCTGAAGAAAGGCTTTGGAATTTCCAGGTGACAGCCTATCATGGCAGAGATTTTAATCCCAGTAGGATTGGTTCCATGCAGGGATCTGGGACAGGACACAGGGTCACAGCCTTTCGGGGAGATCCTGGTAACTAAAAATACATGTTTTTGGAGTGAGAATCAATTGCTTTCACATGTTTTCCATGGGGTTTTGGAACATACATTGTGAACCCCTGTCCTAGAGCCACTCCTTTGCAGGGAGTGGATGAGATGGGGCTCCCCTGAGCTCCTGGGCGGGCATGGCAGTCACACTCATCACAGCCAAGTTCTTGCCACAGGCCATACCTTCTGTTTCTGTCCACTCAGCAGAAGCAGCTAGGGCAGGAATGAAGGCTTCCCGGCACCGGAAGTACTCCTCACTCCAGAAAACAAAAGCACCAGCCCAGGCATCACCAAGATGCCTCCCTTTAAATAGGATGTCGGAGGTCAGGTGAGGAGGGGATGTCTTAGAGACAAGTACCACCATTTTAAACAAACTGCCTGGGACGGAGGTAGGATGAGCTTTCTGGGCTGGAGGAAAGCCTGCTCTGTTCAGACCCCAAACTGCTCATACTACAGAGAAAGACAAGAAAAGGGTTACCTGAAAAAACTGATCCCTAAGAAGCACATTCCAAGCCAGGTGTAGTGGCTCGGGCCTGTAATCACAGCATCAAGGAGGATGAGGGAGGAGGATATGAGACCAGTGACTCTTTAGCCAGACCCTGGCAGGTGCAGGGGGGAAGCAAATTCTTCCTGAAGAAGCAGTCTTTCTTAGAGACTTGCCTTGCTATGGTCTCATTGAGTTCAAGCAAATCTCCATTTACCTGTCAACCATCTGCCTATTATCTATCTACTCATCTACTTCCATGTACCCATCCATCCACCTACCCATCCATTATCCACCATCCATCCATCCATCCATCCATCCACTTACCCATCCAGGATATGGGTCCATAATGAGCCAAGAACTAGGCTCAGAACTAGAGTAAGATGAGTAATATGCAAGGTACCTACTCCCAAGAACCAGGTCTGAGCCAAGAACGGTGGTACACACCCAAATACGTTATTGAGCACTAACCACATTCCAAGCTCCCTGCAGAGCCACCCTTTTATGGTGAAGTCATCCAGCAAGGGCCAATGTATGCTCAGAAAGTCCATGCTGTGTGAGTGCACAGAGAACAGACTGTCCTACCCTGGTGAGAGGTGTCCAGATAAAAGCTTCTGTTTGTTTTTGAGGCAGGGTCTTGTGTAGCTCAGGCTGGCCTGTGCAGCAGAGTATGACCTTGGCCTCCTGGTCCTCCTGTCTCCACCTCCCAAGCTTTGGGATTTTAGATATGTACCACCACATCTGGCTCAGATGAATTCCTTATCTGTAGTTGGCTCAAACAGAAAGAAGGCTCCAAGGTTAGTTATGGACCCCAGGCTGCACAGCAACAAAGGCAGAGCTCAGCAAAGGGGTCCTGAGAGAGGACTCTGCACCCTCCAA